CGCCCGTCCGGTTTGTGACCAAGACGGTGGCGGGTGTTGCGGGCGCGTGCGTCGCTGTTGTCGTCGTCGCGATCGCGGTGCCGCCAGTCGCCATCCTTTACGCCTATTGCCAAATCCGTTATGGTCATGGGTTCCCCTTGTTTGGCACATGAAAAATGCTCCGTCTCAAGGCACCAGTATATTATAATGATAGAAATGTAGTCTATTAGAGATTTTGTCAGCAACACCCAGTTGGGATAACTCTTGCCGTCTTGGAAAAGCCAGAGTCGATTTTGTTTCGACCTATCGTGGGAGTTGGTGGCAGCGCTAGAGAGTGTCTTCGTGCCGCCCATGGTCGCTTTGGGAATTGCATAACTCCCACGCATTTAAGCGTAGCGCTACGTATGCGAAGTCTTTGTGTAATAACGAAGATGACGCATAACACGTTCATGTATATATTGGAGCGGACCCGAGATCAGTAACGGTCGGTCGTCAGGAACGTCGTCGGACAAATCTTTATGCGGATCCGGATGGAGCGAGATCCGCTGTCGTAGTTGCTTTCATGAGTGAGTTGCGTCGAGTTCTATCACATAGAACAACAAGTCGCTACCATCGACAACGTGGCAGGTGTTTACCGTGGATGGTCAGTGTGCACGCGCGGAGGACGGTCGATGTGGGTGCGTGGACCCCGCGCTGGGTTTCGTGGGGCTCGGTGGCGGCGCCAGAGACCATCGATACCAACGTAGACGATGGCCAGTGGCAATATTATAGCCGTTGCAAGAGTCCCCACAAGCACCGTAGCGGCGCCGAAAACGATTTTGGTGATGCACCGCAGAGGCGCCGGACCAAAGCACCAATGCTGGGAGTGCCTGAGCGTGTGCACCGGGCACAGTGTCACGTTGTGGTCTAGCCACTGGACGCGACAGCGCCAGCAAAACTCGTGTTGGCAATACGTGCACTGTATGTGATTGCAACCACCGTCCTTTTCAACGATGGCCGAACACGACGGACAGCGCCGGGCTCCGTGCGCGCGGCACCACGACCGGTACTCTTGATGGCACTGCGGCCACATATGGTACGCGCCACCGCAGTCGCGGCACGACACGTGGCGGCAGCTCTCACAGTCGACGCGGCGCTTGCTTTTGCCTGACGATGCAAGCTCCTGGCCGCATTCAGGCCGCGGGCAAAAGCGCTGGCCACGGCGCCGGTGCAAGGCAGCCTCGAGGGCGACCGTATACTTGTGGATGTATTGTCTCGGCAGAAACGGCACGAAAATCTCGCGCAAAATCGGTTGCCGGCATGAGCCGGGACATACGAGTTGGTGCGGCACGACCTCGCTGGCGTCAATCTTGTATATCAGATACGAGCGAAAGCAGCTGTGGCAAACTCTGGTATCGCAGCGACGGCAGTGATGGGCACCCTGGACGGGCCGTGCCTCGAGGCAGACGCTGCACGTGGCGTCGACCAGCGCAGAGGCATCGCGCGGTGCGCTATCCCTCGAGCTGCGTCGAACGACGGGCTTCTAGACACGTAAGAATAGTTTTTTGTAACGGAGCGTGGGAAGAGACTAGGGTAAATACCTTGATGGGACGTCCAGAGCGGGACATAGTGCGTTGCAGAGAGAGGACAATGACAAGTGGCAAGTAGATCGCTGCAAACATGGAACGAGCATCACTCACGCCGGTCGTATCCAAATTCGATGCCCTTGGATTGACAACCCGGCGACATAACGTCACGACTTGATTTATCCGGATAATAATGACACGGTTTCTTGTCCGCGATATTCTAACAACTGTGCTGTGCCATACTAGTACGAAGGTCGCGGGAATACCTGGTCGACGCATGTACTTTGGACTGAGAACCACGGTGAACGCTGACGGGAATGCGATCTGCGGAGCAAGATGCCAGCTCAACGATTCGAGCTGTATGCTCGAGGTGCCGACGGAGATCAAGCTGCTCAGAGGCGTCGTGAACGAGTCTAATGAAATGACTCTGGTAGCCTTGATGTCGGTAGTCTGCAGCAGCAGGTCGGAGCGCAAGACTTGATTCTCCCGGACGCGCCAGACGTTGAACAAGACACGGGCGCGGAACACTAATCGAACGCAGCTTGGACCAACGTTCCTAGTCGTAGAATGTTGCACGTGTTGACAACGACACAAGTTCACAGCTCAGAGACGAACATTCTGGAGCACAGTTGTGGTCTCTGGTTCACAATCTAGTCTCAATTCTGTGGTGGCTACCTCGCCCTCCAACCTCAAATTTTGAGGTTGGATCAACGTCTATTTTGCAAAGACATGGTTGTCACCGCCACAATCCTATTCGCGACCAAGGTGCTGCATCCTATCCACCAAACGAATCGATGATCTCCGGTCCTCCTCCCACCCCATTCGTACAAACCCCTCTTCCTATGAGGCGTGGACTCATTCGGCTACGTGGCCATAGACGAACCCTATCGAGCAACCGCCAAACTTGGTAGCTGACAACGCGATTGGTGACCATCTCCGCACTTTCTCAGTCACTGCGCTCTGTGTCATCTGCCTCGAAGATCGACCCGTTGAGCGTGCCCACCGCTGCCAGCGCTGTGATTCCAACTGCTGCAGGAACTGCTTTGGCTCGTACTTGATTCAAAAGATTGCGGATGGTGACGTCGCGCCGCACCAACTCGTGTGCCCCGGCCAGTGCCGGCAACCGATTCCACGAACCGTGCTCGCCCAGTTTGTGTCCCCAAGCTATCTCCAAAAGTACATTCAGTTCCTCACGTCGTACGAGCTCCGTCAGCGCGGCCATCGATACTGCCCGCGACCGCAGTGCGGCCAGCTACTGCCGACGGCAACCTCTCACAAGAACAAGAAGATGAACAAGCGCCGCGTCGACTGTCCGAGCTGCCAGCAGTCGTCGTGTCGCGACTGCGGCGACGCCTACCATCGATGGCCGCAGTGCGACCGACAGTATCGCTCGTGGTGCCACTCGCACGCTGCGCAGCGCTGCCCACAGTGTTCGACGACCATCGAGAAAGACGGCGG